GAATGCCATAGTCACATTTCACAGTAAGTTTAAGAAACAGTAATTTATTAGCACAGTGTGCAGATGAAATTCAGCTCCATGCAACGTCCTTGTACATAGTGCTTTGCAGCTCTTAAACCCGTCACATAGGTCCTGATTTGCACACTGGCCTTTATACGCTCCCTTCTGCAGTGGCACAAATTTCTCTGAAGAAGAAAGCTGAGGTTAGTGAAACACAGCTTATTTCCTAACTTACGCTCAAGAGGAAAACAGGTAACTTTCAACTTTCTGATTTGAATAATTCACTATGCCAGCAAAGATCTGAATCCAAGCACAGGCAGTGGCAGTGGTTCAGATGATGAGAGGAAAGCTTGTAGTAAAGTATGCCAGCCTCTGGAAAAGCAGGCTCCTGCAACCGACTCTGTAATACCCACGGATGATAGCTCCTTCCTGTAAGTAGAGATTCTGCCTTAGAAACATACCTGCCCGAGAGCGAGTATTCACCAAATCTTTCACTACGAGATACCACCCGGCTGTATCAAGGCAGCCCATGCTTTGTCTTCTCTTCTCTCAGTCACAGGCAGTGACCCCTCACTCCGTAGCCTAGGGAGGCACCCACATTTCAAATGCAGAGGGCTGGAACCAGAGGATAGTGGTAGGATCCTTATTTCCCAAGCAGTCTGGTTTAGATGAAAGCCTGCACCTTTCATGCCTGTCTCTGCCCAGCCTTACCTCCCTCCTGTTCCGAGCTGTGCGGGGCACAAAGGAGGAAAAGACAGACATTTTACTGCGACTTCTGTGGCAAGTTGCTGGGGACTGGGAGAGGAGAGCAGAGTTTTCAAAAGGGGAAGGCTGAACCGAGTTATTAGGAAGCAGATCTGTTGCCTGTGGAATAGCTCCTTTTACACCACCTTTGTATACAGATAATAAACAATCAGATTTGCCTTAGCCCTATCTAATTTTTTCTGGTATTACTGAGCATAGCCTGCACAAACCAATTAATTTAGCTTTGAAGATATGCTTTCAACAAATGAGTATCCATTTTCAGCTCAAGACAATCTAGCACACATAAAATCCTTCATAATTTCAATCTTTTATTCTTGCACAATAGAGGCTAGATTGAATCTCACCAAAAAGACAGAAAAAAAAAATCTAAAAACCCCATTAACATCATAAGAGATGTTAAAAATTATATCATGTAACTGCAATAAGAATCTGCTCTGTAAGTGCTGGGCGTCTGGACAAACCTGTTGTACAATGTACATTTTTGATGCTCATAGTAATAGAAGGAGTGTTTTTCGCTTTCTAAGTTTTGCTAATATGCATAATAACTTCCCTGCTTGCTAACCTAGATTTACTAGCTTCCTAAAGCACAAAGAAAAACCGTGTCATTGCCCCCAGCAGGAAGGGAATGGATTCAGGGAGACAAAAACCCTGCAGAAAGATTAATGGGGAGACTTTCGAGGTTGCAAGTAGCCATAACCTGTTGTGTAAGTACCGTTTCTTTCCTGCCTACAAGACTTCAAATATTTCTTCTTGGACTGTTCTCTAGGTGGTACCGAAAAAAAGGATAAAACTCAACACCATGGAAAGGTCTACATACATACTGCATAGACAGGTATCAAGGAGTTGTTTTCTTGTTCCTTCGCTTCGCTTCTATTTTCCTCAGAGCGCCAAAAGATCTTTAGTCAAATCTTACACGTTTTGAGGATGTGATGCCCTCTCTTGTAATAGATACAGCTGAAACGCAAAAGGCTCTGTAGTAAAACTGCACTGAATCAGGTTGTTAACAAGCTGTGTGCTTACTGTAAAATAAATGTCAGTGTTTCTAATCCAAGTTCCCATGCAAATGTAAGTTTTAAAATCAATCAGGCTGTTGGATGAAGGCACACAATGTTTGTAACCTTTAAAGAGGAATGAATAATTCAGTAGGAGCTCTGGCAGATACTCCCACACACTGTTGGTAGTGAGGTTGGGCTGATTTGTATTAATTTGCTTTACACAGCATCTGTCCCTAAAAGCCCGTCCGAGACCACCGCCGAGCCTTGCTCGTGCAGCAGAGCCCTGCCGCCACAGCTAGGTGTGCACAAATCCCAGGTGCCCCTCAGAAGCAGCTCTGTGCTGGTACAGCAGCAAAACCCCGAAGGACCCGAGTCGAACCAAGACCAGATTTCTGTCATCAGGACATCAGACTCACGCCGGGGATTTTGCCAGCAATGCGATATCAGAGTTCTTCACCTCCCATCCAGTACAGGTATGACCACAACACTATGCAGTGCGGGCATGGCCAAATTTCACACTGGTCATCACAAACCCATAAAGAGTTCATGACAAGCCTCAAAGGGACTTGAGCTAATGAACGGGAAAATGCAATTCTATTTCCCCTTTACTAACAGAAATACAAATTCTGTATAGAAAACATCTTGCCATTTCATACTACTTATTAATGGGTTTGTTCCGGAGTTCTGAAATAGAGACTGAAGAACAACTGATTAAAGTGTGTTGTCAGAGGGGCCTCTGCATTTCACGTATCCTACATCTGCCCTACGTGGAACAACGACGTATGCCCATCCCTTCCTTCTCCAACGCCTGAGCCAGGCTGTAATTTGGCCAGGACAGGACCTTGCTGGAAAGGCAGAGAAGGGATGGGGGAATGGGAGGAAACAGATGCTGCTTGCTAGAGGGAGAAGGTTTCTCTGGACCATCCATACAGGGGGACTAACTGCAGTTGAAAAATACATGTTTTTTTTCAAGGAGATGTGTACCCGTATAACCTACTTGTATTTTTGTAAAAGCTCAAAAAGTATATATCTATAAGCAGCCCTATCCTTCCAAACAGGACAATCCAATACAGAGTTTCAGGCAGAGGCCTTCAGAGAAAGTTAAAGAAGAAACACGTGATGAAGAATCCCTTTGCTCCCCCTAAGTCTGCTTTCAAACCGCAGTACAGTTATTATTACACAGGCCTTGTTCCTGGCTTTTTACGTGGAGCAAATTCATAGTAAGACTCCTATTTGCTTTCAGCATAGAAGATGAATCCCCACCTAGAAAGAAGCCTGACAGAAGGTACTGTTAAAGGCACTTTTTTTTTTTTTTTAAATCAGAGTGAATTACACAAGTTAAATGTACCAGCTAAACTTAGATACTCAGCTACATGACTGAAGCAACTAAACATGGTCTGAGGAAAAGGAAAATTGAACTTTCTAGCAGAAAGCCAACTCTCCATCTGGCTGTATCTGATGCCAATCCCAAGTATAAATAAATGAAGACAAAAAGCAGTTGAATTGGGAAATAGCACCACTACTGCTAAACGGTGTCAAAGAACCCAGTCATGAAAAGTGCCAGAAGAGAAAAAAATACCGAGGCGTACGGCATGGCAGAGCTAGAGCACACGATGGGGTCCTGGGCAGAGTAGCTAACCGATACCACCCATGGCTCTTCCCCCTTCTCTGGAGGGCATGGGAGAGATTCACCAGGGAAGGTGGAAGGGGCCGACTGTGAACATCCCTCGCCTCCATTTACCTCTGCTCAGCATGGGTCTAAGGCACCAAAGCAGGGTAATGGAAAAGAGCTTTCCCTCTCACTTTAGTGCTTCCTACTGCTTGTAGAGGTAGCAAAAACCATTGCGCAACAATAATTTTCCGGGTATGATAAGCACATTCTTGTTTTCATTTGTATAAACTAAGTACATGCTACACAGATACTGCATCGACACACTTTTAGAGATCACGCCTGTTAAAAAAAAAATAAAAAAAGGTTGAGGATATAAATTATTGAGAGAGAAGAGGAGGAAGCAAGAAACACTCTGTTCTTGTAAATAATGAATTACATGAATGTATGAACATGCAGTCAATAGCTTGACCTTAAAATGTCTGAATAGAACCACATGCCATTTTAAAAGCCATGAATAACACAGAATTGGCAAAAGATACAATGCATAATTCCCTATGAACAAAAGCACTTGACTGTACTAATGTTGTATTAATGCTATCTCTGGTAATACTAGCACAAGAACAATCTCCTGCTAGGAGTCAATCGATTTACTTGTGCATAAAAGCCCATATATCAGCATATATACAATAGCATACTCTGTATACTTGGATGCCCGTAGGAATATTATGGTATGGCTCTCCAACACAGCTGCACGAGCTTCTGGCAGCCCAAATATAAGATTTATCTTGCCCAGTTTAAAATACAAATCCAGATTTGGCCAGGGTTGCCAGAGGAATTCAACAATGTGTTCAAAACAGAGATAGGCAGTTGTGTTGGAAAACAGTGATAAACTTTATTTTACATTACCTCATCAACAAATGAACAAAACCTTAACTTTTCGAAGTGAGCTGAAACTGGAACTAAATGAACTCTTAAATCTGTGAAGGCAATCCCTGTGAAAACGTCTGAAGTTTTACCTGTCTTCATTAATTTCACGTATTTTGGAAGAGTGTAAAAAGCTAGAGCATTACAGCTGCAAAGGCTGAAGAGGCCTTTCAGACGACACATTCGTAAGTCCACAGAAGCCCAGAGGGACATCCCTATGTAGGGTCATTATATGAAATGAGGGGCTGAGAACTGAACAAGTAATAGGATGAAGTATTACTCTCGGCTCAGTTTTTCAATAAAATAGTGATCGATAGATCCCAAATGTGGACAACTCCTGAGAGGTTTCATCAAGCAGAAGCTCTGAGACACGTGTAGCTCTTGTTCTAATTATTTTTCTCTTCCATTTTTTGAGGGTAGAGCGGTGAAAAAGGGGGAGAAGCAGAACTCCAAAATAAAGCACATGGTCATGATTGCATCACAACACAAAGAAAGGATATGCACTTTTTGGAAAACATTTAAGACTTCTAGAGTTCACGGTGTGTTCGAAAGGACAGTTTAAAAAAAAAAATAAAAAATATCCAAGAAACACCACCACCACCAAAACCCAAACCAGAGTCATACAACTATTTGGTAGTCAGGCTAGAAACTGCTTACTAGAAGCAAGGGATACAAAAGCAGAAATTACAAGCCGAAATCACTTTAATCCATACCAAAATCTTTGTAATAAGAATACTGACAGTTTTTAAATAATTTCAGGAGTTGTTTTTTTAGTATTTAGTATTTTTAGGGTTTTTTTTTAGTATTTTAGTACTTTTTTAAGTATTTAGATCTATGATTTCCACACTGGGACAAATTAAAGTTTGATCTATGTGAACAAGAGGGTTTAGCATTCAGTGAAGGTGTCGGCCACAACAGGTAAGCGAGCTCCCCTGTTGCTCACAGGCACAGTGTACCTGTGCAGGCTTTCCTGTCCTGCTCCCACCTGCTACAGACCCACAGACTCTTTCTGCCTGAATCGGTCCATCCAGCCCCTTCCTCTGCCTAGCAGACAACACATCTCAACCCTTCCAGAAGAGATTAGGGAGATGTTTTCTTTCTAGACAGGGTTCAGACATTATTCTTAACCGTTCTGTTTAACCCTGTCTCAAAACAGGGCCCAAAAAAAGATCTAGGCTGCATTTAGACATATCCCCTGCTGCTCTTACCAGTACCAGCAGTGAAACTGCACGTGG